CTGCTCACCACCTGGTGACCAAGGCTCAGTTCTTTCCTGGCTAATGATCCCGGAGCAGAGAGAGTCCTGAAATCACAATCCTGGAAAACAGATAAGTCTGAGAAAGAAAGAGACGACTGAGAGAGCTAGAGGGAGCATTTCTGGATAGAGCCTTGTCTATATACTGGGCATGACATGCATTATATGGAGTGCACCATTGGTCAGTTTGGGTCTCAGTCCTAAACCTAAGGTCGAATCCTAAGCCAATAATTGTGAGCTGTGCTTCCTCCTAGTTTCTCCTGCACCTGCAGACACTGGTAGAGCATGAGAAGGTAAAAAGTCCTTGACTGTCCTGGCAACAACTAGAAACATCAGTGTGTTGTCAGGCTTCTTCTCAGTACAAATTCAAAACATAGTCTCACACTGTCTGCTATGAAGAAAGTTGATTCTGTCCCAGTTGAAGCCATGACATGGGGTAATAGCGAAGAGCTTTGCAGGGTTCGTTTTGATTTGGATTGGTTTTGTTTGGGGTTTTTGTTTGTTTGTTTGTTTGTTTTCCGCAAATCTGGATAAGAGCTTTGCAAATGAAGTTAAGCCTTGCTCAGATTTCAAACTGAGCAGGCATCTCTTTCCTTCCTCAGAGAGGTGTGTTGCCTTGCTCTGTCTTTATGCAAAGAAGATTGAGGTATTATTCTCAATGGGGATGTTTTGTAATTAGAACTGTTGAATTCCTCCTCAGCTTTCTAAAAGTAGCTACATCTAGATCAGAAGAGGGACATTTTTCTTCTTACCTGCCCTTTTCCTACCTGCTCTGTCTCTGCATGTGTTGAATGGGAAACAGTGCTGGAGAATGTCTTAATGTTGCATGGAGTACTCTGTTTGGTAGAAACCTCTGTCCAAGTAGTTGAAATGTTCATTTTAGCATTGTCCTAACACCCCTCTCTCTGCACTACCACTCCCCACAAAAAACCACAACCCACTCCAAACCAAAAAAAACTTCAACTTTGTCATTGATGCAGCTTCACCACTGGGAGTGCTAGTCTGGATGTGAACAAGTTACTTGAATAAGTGCAGTTCCGAGTTAATATTGTGTGGTAATAGTGTAAGTATTACAAATGGCAGTAGAAATAGTATAAACAGCTAGAGTTTCATATCACAGAGCAGTTCCCGCTCTTGGAGCTGAACTATAGTTACTTTGAGAAAAATTGCTGAAATACTTACATAAAGGTCCAATGCATGTTTACATGCCTTGATGTTGTTCCCTGCCAAGTGTCTACAGTGTAAAGCTGCATTGCAGACTGGATAGTTCTTGTGGTAGTCCACAAATGATGGAAGCACTGAAGCCGCTTTGCATTAGACCGTTTTGTCTTTCCTCTGTGCTATAAACAGCACTGCTTCACTGTGGTGGGAATACATCCTTTGACAGTTTGGTAGAAATTAAATGCAATTATCTATTTTTTGCAAAGCTAACATAAGGATTTGCTCAGTACTACCAAATCTATGCACATGGTAGGCTAGAGTTAAATGACAAATTCTTGTTTCTTATGCTGATCTTACCTGCAGTTACAACCAATTCTAAAACTTTTATATATTTTTAATCTGTCAGTTACAGTGTTGGGTTTGCCCTGGATGTGTTTGGAAGTTCTGTCTTGTTTCTAAAAGCCATTTCAGAGAAACATCAGTGAGCTTTGATGTTTGAGCCAGTTTGTTTGCTTCAAGATGAAGGTGCCTGTTGAATTTTGAATATATTTAGAGTTTAGATAGTGTTTGAGAATAAACATGACTTCACAGGTGGAAGGTGGTCTAAATCAGTGTTTACATATTTCGACAGATTTGTCAGTACTGCTAGAATAATAGAGATAATGGAACACACCACCTGTCCTGTTAGTGGTTTGGTGATTCCAGTTGCCCAAAGCTCTGTTTTGACTATCACCTGTGATAAGGCAATCAGGATAGCACTTAATCATACGTCATATGTGAAGTAACCTGTTATGACACAGAAGGTTATGTTGAACTTAAAATGCAATAGCCTTAATGCAGTCTAACTTGTTACTCTTCCCTTTTTTTTTTAATTCTATTGATGTAGAAGACAATAGGGACTTGAAAGGCTGAGGTGAGTGATGCTATGCAGCCTGTGGCTGCCTACCTAAATCAATCTGTATCAGCAATGGCATTCCTTCTAACTGTGTCAGAATTAAGTTAGTGATATTTTCCTATTCCCCAAACCAACCAAGAATTAAGTATTCCTCATAGATTCAGTTTCTGGGTGATAGCTGGTTATTCTCAAGCTAGTCAATTAAATTATGTTTCTTTCATCTTATTTTTTAAATAATTTTATTTATTTAAACTAAAGCCATAAGCTGTGTTCTTTTTCCTAATAAGCTTTTCCTATACCTGTGTTGCCACAGCTCGTTGTCAGACCTTAATGCGTATTCCTTGATTGCCTCAGTTTTTTCACACCTTTGTGGCCTATGCCTATAATTTTGTCCCTTCAAGCTTGTTCTAAACATGGCTACCAAGATAATCTTGGCTTGTCTTCCTGACTGGTGACTGAAGTTCTTTTACTTACTATTCTTTCACCAAACTGAATGTAAGCTCCTTATCCCAGCTACCTCACTGATTTGCTTGATACTGCATTCACTCTATTCTTGTAATGCATCTGCCAGTCATACCAACTTCAGGTCTTGTTTTGTTGTGTTACAGAAGTATGTGATCCCAGTTGAAAGCTTTTAAAACTTTTTAAAATCATAGCTTCAGATCTCTTATCTTCTTGCTGAGTTTAAAGCTCTGCTGGTTGAGAAGGGAATGAGTTGTAGTCACTTGCTACATATCAGCTTGAAGTCTCTCTGCATCTTGTCTCTTTGAGCTAATCTGTTCTCATTGCAGATGGCAGTCTTCTGTTTGGGTCATAGCTTCCTTGAGGTAGCGATCAGGTTTGCAGGATTTCTGTACAATATTTAAGATTGTGTAGCCCAACATGATTATGGATTTAAAATGCCATTTCTAGTATAAAAGTTGAGCAACTGCTCTTACCAGTAGAGGTTGTATGTCGGGTTGAGCTGCTCTAGTAGAGGAGAGCATGAAATTTTGCTTTGTTGCCATATTAGCGGTAGTTTTGTAATGAGAAGACTGTTGCCTATAGCAAGCCAGCTGGGCTGATGTTCCCTGTCTGTATTCTCTTGGTGTGTACCAGGTAACTTTCTGTCCGATATTTCTGATACCATCATTACTGAGACATGAATGATAGATATCAATGAACCCATTACAAACTGTTTAAAATATCACAACAGAAGCTAAGAATGAACTACCACATTTGAGGAGAAGTTCCCGGATTTACATCTCTCAGCTCTTGAGTACAAAAAGGCTAATTTAACCAATGAGAAATTACAGAAGAGAGGCTTCCCTGGTCTTACATTGAGGTTGACAGCAGCAAAAGTATATGCAAAAGTATAATCTAAAATGACCAGGTGCTGCTTTCCAGTGATGGTTACAGGCCCAGAATGGATAACAGTCAATGTATTATCCATTAATTTTGGGGTTTTTTTTGTCTGTGATAAACAGCATAGCAAGTTTTTTGGTGGGGGATTTTTTTTGCTGCTTCGTTTGTTAATGCTTTTGTAACTTGTTCTGGTATTTCCTTAGGCTCTTTGTATTTGCATTCTTCCCTTTTATATAGCTCAGCTCTTCTTTCAACCTGTAATCAATCTATGACAAATACAAATCTTGAATGTGCATGTAAAGAATTACTTGTCTCCAGGTTGCAGTTGAGTGATGCCATGGCCAACTTGGTAAGTTTTAGAAGTCTACTGGAACTACACTAGCAAACTCAGGGAGTCAAACTTTCTCTCAGTTCTTGCAGCACTGAAGACTTAGGATCAGGAATGTTTGTTTAATATGTGTGTTCGTTCTTTTGCAATGATGGACTCTATTAAAAATGTTTTTCTTTAAAGGAAATTTTTTAATCAGGTGGTAACTGAAGAGTGTTCACAGGTCCTTGGATACTGAATGAAAAGTAATTGGAGGGTGGGGATTCCATGGTAAAGAGTATGTGATGCCTTCTGTATTCACTGAATCACATGCATTTAACTACAAATTAACTACAAACTTTCCAGGACATGACAAGAGGGTTACTGTCTATGTAGCTTTTGCTCCCTGAATCTGTAAAAGCTGGTAAAGGCTCCTAAAGCCTTTTTTTTTTTTTTTTTGAGGATGGATTTTATTTGTGATTTCAGATAAAACCAGAGTCTAAATTTACTGCTGTAGATTTGTAACCTATTTGCTATGTAGTACATACAGATGAGTAGCTGCCTTTTTTCCCCTTTAGCTCATTCTGTGTTTTCTTGTTTCCTTTTCATGCTTTTCAACCTACACAGCAAAAAATAAACCTAAGAACACTACCTTTAGATTCATAACAACAGATTGGCTTGATTGAAATATTTTCTTTGTGGAATGTGACTGGACTGTAATAATAACCTTTGGTAGCACTCTGTCTAAAAATAATTTCCTCTTTACTGCCTGATAAGTTTTTGCACATACTGTAACATAGCTTCTTTCTAGAAAGTTGAGTTTGCTCTGTTTAAGTATTGTTCCCCATCCCCCTAGAAAGCTCAGATTTATAGTTAATCATTAAAAGTTTTAATTTTCAGATTTTCTGATGTGTATCTTCTTTGTTTTTCACAGAGACTAATAGACAAGTCCAGAGTAACCTGTGTAAAATGGGTGCCAGGTTCGGAAAGCCTTTTCCTAGTAGCTCATTCCAGTGGCAATATGTACTTGTATAACGTGGAGCACACTTGTGGTACCACAGCCCCGCACTACCAGCTACTTAAACAAGGAGAAAGTTTTGCAGTTCACACTTGCAAGAGTAAATCCACAAGAAACCCTCTGCTTAAATGGACAGTAGGTGAGGGTGCCCTGAATGAATTTGCCTTTTCCCCCGATGGGAAGTTCTTGGCGTGTGTGAGCCAGGATGGTTTTCTTCGTGTGTTTAACTTTGATTCGGTGGAATTGCATGGTACAATGAAAAGCTACTTTGGAGGACTGCTGTGTGTGTGTTGGAGTCCTGATGGGAAGTACATAGTGACAGGTGGAGAGGATGACTTGGTAACAGTTTGGTCTTTTGTGGACTGTCGAGTAATAGCGAGAGGCCACGGACATAAATCATGGGTCAGTGTTGTTGCATTTGATCCATATACCACTAGTGTAGAAGAGAGTGACCCGATGGAATTTAGCGGAAGTGATGAGGATTTCCAAGACCTTCATTTTGGCAGAGATCGAGCAAATAGTACGCAATCTAGGCTATCCAAAAGGAACTCTACAGACAGTCGTCCAGTAAGTGTTACGTATAGATTTGGTTCAGTAGGCCAGGACACACAGCTCTGTTTGTGGGATCTTACAGAAGATATCCTCTTCCCTCACCAACCTCTCTCAAGAGCAAGGACACATACAAATGTCATGAATGCCACAAGTCCACCTTCTGGAAGTGGTGGAACTAACCCAGGAAGTAATGGAAACAGTATCACGACACCTGGAAACTCTGTACCCCCTCCTCTTCCACGGTCAAACAGCCTTCCACACTCTGCAGTCTCAAATGCTGGCAGTAAAAGCAGTGTCATGGACGGTGCCATTGCTTCTGGCGTTAGTAAATTTGCAACCTTATCGCTACACGATCGGAAGGAAAGACACCATGAAAAAGATCACAAGAGAAATCATAGCATGGGACATATATCTAGCAAGAGCAGTGACAAACTGAACCTAGTTACTAAAACCAAAACGGACCCAGCTAAAACTTTGGGAACACCTCTCTGTCCCCGAATGGAAGATGTTCCCTTGTTAGAGCCTCTTATCTGTAAAAAGATAGCACATGAAAGACTGACTGTGTTAATTTTTCTTGAAGACTGTATAGTCACTGCTTGTCAGGAGGGATTTATTTGCACATGGGCAAGGCCTGGTAAAGTGGTAAGTTTTAATCCTTAATGCTGCATCAAAGAACTAGAACTCTGAATAGGTAGTTTTCTTGAAATATAAATGAATGTTGAATATAAAATTTCTTTATGCTTAATGTAAAAAAAAATCCTCAGAGCCATACTTTTGGATACTGCATGCCATATTTCTGAATGATTTGAAGTGTCTTGGATACAATTATTAAGTATAGTTGCCTTCCAGCAGAAGAAATAAATGCTCTGCATCTAAACTATTGATCAGTGTTCTTATACTTAAGCATAACCACAATATGGTGAAAGCTGTTTATGTAAAGATTTAAGTAAAACCTGTCAATCACTAAAATAACAGTAATCTTTCTAATGTTTTCTACAAAATACAGCACTCCCAATGAGAGTGGCTTATGAAAAGCTGCTGCTTTTAAGTCTAATGGGAATTGTGAGCCTCTGACAAAATTAAAACCAAAGTGTTTTGTTCCTCCATACTTTTCTGTGGTGGCCTGCCATTAGTGTAAAACCACTTCTTATTAAAACATCAGCCATTTTATGCACAGATTTGTGACCCCTTTACTGACTGTAGTTTATGCTGTTGAAATTGTGAATCAGTGTTATCAAGGAACTCTAATTTCTGATTTACGTATTTGTTAAATTGGGGAAAGTCATGCAGGCTTTCTCTAAGTAGTTTCAGTGTTACATTACTGACAGTTTTGTTAGGCAGTTTGATCATCGACAAGCTTGTGCTTTTTGATGGCACCTGTTCTATCAGTTGAACCTTCATTATATTACTAGTGTTAACTCTTGTTGTTAATGCACTTGAACACAGATACAACTTTATCTTTCTTCTGTCCCATGTATAGCAAGCTAAATTTTGGATGAAGCTAAATGTGGTGATTATTTTATTTAAAAGTACTTTGTGCTACAATAGCTTTGTTTGCCAGCAACATTTTAAAGGAATACAGCTACGAAAACATTACCAGAGATGATCTGTAAAAAACAACAATTATTTTTGTGAAAAATTATGAAAGGAGATGTAGGTTATCACTTGAAGAAAAAGAAATAATCTGGTAATGCCTGAATATTGCCGTGTTGGGCAATCTAAATGAAGATCTGATGTTCATTAGGTTTTAACCGTTTGGTTCATAAATCTGACTTTTCAAGTGGAGGTACTGTATATATTTATGTACCACATCTTCATTGCTATAAACTTTTAAGTAAAACTGGATAGCTTTTCTTAAAACTATTTGTATAATGTAAGTTTCTGTGAGATGTTAGCAAATTTGTCACAGTATAGGTATGCATAGAGAGCTATGTCCACTCTGCATCTTAATGCATATTTAAAGGTTGCATCTGAAACTAAAAATTCTAAACCCTTTTCTGGGGAGAAGGGAGGAGAGTGTTACCTTCAAGTATTTTTTTTTTCTTGCCTAAAAACTACAAATCCAGCATTAATTAAAAAGAAAAAAGGAACACTCCCCCCAAAAACACTAAACTATTTAAAATGTTTGTCCTTAACGGAAATACTAAATGAGTTATCAGTTCAGTGACTCAGTGCAATCCACATATCTTATGAATTAACTTTATACTCATACAGCAGTGCCTCAGATTTCTATTGTGACCTCTGTTTCCTTTTTGTTCTAAAACTCCTTTGTGTACTACTAAACACTACACTTTTAAATTTATTTTCAGTGGCTGAGGTGGGTTTTGCTAGACTGGGTATAACTTAAATACTTTTGTGTATTGACTTTGATTTGGGATATGACATTTCAAATATTTCAGAGATAAAGTATGCAGTACCAAAAATCAGGATTTATGTATTGGCCAATATGGAAAACTTTAATTACAGGTAAGTAATTTTCATGCTGAAGTTATCACTTTCAAAATTAATATATTGCACACTGATGTAAATGCCATATTGTTTAGGAAGTATTTACGTAGAAATTTTCAGATGAATTTGTTTTTCTGATTTCACTTTGCATTTCTAGTGAGCTCACTCTGCTGGTAAAAACTAAATTTTGGTGGCATGTTTACAGGGCTTTGATAGGAAAATATTTGTGCCAGAAGGACGTTATGAGCATCCTTTTTGTTTATAGGAAAGCACTTAATAATTTTATTTAATGAAAATTGTCAAAGTATAAAACACTCATGGTAATGTCTTTCTTACTGGGTTATATGCCATTCATTTCTGTTTCGCCAGCTGTTTTATCCTAGGCTATCCCATTACTCTGGGGTTTAAAGCTGCTATTTCTAGTCTTCCTTTTGAAGTATGGGTCCCCAAGTGATCTTAAAACTCTGTCACTTTTTTGTCTGCCAGCTCTTGAGTGAAAGCCTCTGAATCTTGCTGTTTCTTCCATCATTGCCTCAAACAGCCTTCATTAAATTCATGCCACTGCCAGCCTAAAGAAAGAATTTGATGGAGAACTGAAGCAGGCTTGTAGTGTCTAACATAATTTCCATTGAGCCAGTGCTACCTTTCCCTCTCTTTTAATAGCTATCAAAAGATGTGCTGGATAATTGGACAGTGTATGGCAAGTTCTCTTCATTTTTCTGGTTGGGCTGCCTGCTGCCCTTAGTGGGGAAAAAAATCCAGAAATGTCTCTTCAGACATGATTCTTATGATAGTTGATAGGCTGTACAGTGCTTACAGTGTCTTGACAGTTTATTTATAAACTTTCCAAATTACTACTTCAGTGTATACATAGTCATACCTTGAGCTTCCTCACTGGATATACAGTTCTTGCATTGCACTTCCAGAACTGTTGTACTAGCTCCCAATCAGAGTGAGGTCAAGTGAATGGCAACATTCCCTAAGAAACAAGATGAATGAGGCTCAGGATTTATTAGTTTCCATGTTTCATTTTTTACTCTCACTTTTTGTTAGCTTGTTCCTGAGGAAGAGGGTTCAGGTTGGTGAGAAAAATAGGTTGCCTTAACAAGAGTATGAATTTTTTTCTGAATATGGTGACAGTAAGCTGTCTCTTCTCCCCCCCCGTCTTTCCCAGCCCTGAAGGGAAAAACTAAATGGGGCTACAGACCTGTTGTATTAATCTGAAAATGTAGAAAAAGAATTTTAAAGGAACTAAGGTATACTTCACGTGTTATCTTTATAGCTACTTCAAACTGAATTACAGGACCTGCAGAAGCAATTAAAAGAAAAAAACAAAACAAAATAAAACACCAAACCCCAAACAAAACCCCCAGAAAACCAAAGTGATACCTGGATATTCAAAACAAGTTTTCTTTGAACTTAGTGGTCAGAGAAACTATGATTTGTGTGTTTGACTTGAGAATTATCTATTCACCATCTTGTACAGTGACTCCATTTTATCTAAGTAAAATTTGCTGATTAGTTTTTTCCTTTGTGAGAAAGCTCAAGGTAAGATTGGCCAGAAGTATGAACAGGTGAAATGGCAGTGTATAACCTAGCAAGATAAACATGCTACCATTTTGTAAAACAAATGCACATGGAATTTATTTATTTGACTTATTGTACAGGAAAACTTAGACTTAAATTATAACATCCTTGAATTTTCTAGTTAACTACAATTGTAGTACAGTATCATGTTTTAGTATGACTTCTGTTTTAGTGAAAGTACTTAAGCATTCATGTATTATATTTGAGTGAGATGAGCAGCTATACATACTAATTCTTCCTCAATGGAAAGGAGCATTTCATCATTACAATTGAAGTTCAATTGCTGGTATTTAAGTACTATCAAATAGATTTCTTTCAATGTGATACGGTATCTGTATAAACTTCAGGGATGATTATAGTAAAACTGAAACACATCTATATGACTTCAGGTTACCATGCTGAAATTTGAAGCTTTCCGTAATGTGCGTAATAGCAAAGTTGCACATAGCATACCCGCATTATCAGGGTGAATTTAAACCTAGTACACTGGTGTGGTATTTATAGCAAGGTATGTGTGTTTGCGCATGTGCGTGTGTGAGAAGGCGTGACTAGTGGCTCCAGTAAAGCCAGGAAAGATCATAACCCTGTAAAGGCTTTATGATGAGGCTGCTTGGATTAGGAAATAACATGACTTTTACTAAACACTTTTTAGAAAACACATGTTCTGAATTATCACCTCTTAAAATTTGATTATGTACTTGGAATGACTGTATATGTCTGCCCCTTTAACAGCATAAAGCTACTAAATTAATATTTAAAATGCTGGCCTGCTTATGTTACAATAATAAAATTTGTGTCAGTTAATTTACTGTCAATTTACATGTAAAGATTAAACAATATTTTTTCTGCATTTTATGAATTCTGTATACTGGAGTTTGTTAAAGATTGACATGTTAGGTGATACTGTACAAAATTGTATTGACTACCTTTAGTGAAAATCAAAAGTAAAATTCATATGTATTTCCTTTTTACACTTCCATCTAATTTCTTGACAACTTGAATAAATTTCATAGAGCCTTTCTAACATGAACTATTGTTAATTTAACTGTTGCAATAATTAAGCTTTAAGAAGTATTGTTGGTATATTTATAATTTTAAGAAGATCATGTTTGTTTCATACTGCTTATTTTTAGCTGTTCTATTGTCACTGTTACAGCTGAAGAACTTTACTAAATACTTGACATTACGAAATAACTTGCTGGGGTTGTCCTCTGTATACTGATGTTAAATAAAAATGTGTGATTGAACTGTAAATGTAGATAACTTTCAATAGTCCTTTCCACATTTGAGTTTTAATTTATCTTGCAGTCCTTTGGTGGTCTTATGCTATCATACTGTGCTGAACAAATGGCCACACTGAAAGCTGTTAACTTGCCATATTTTAAAGTAAGAAGTTGATCGCATCCTATAACCTGCTCTGAGTGAATGTTTCACTTCATCTCAAGATGATGCATACATTTTTAATGTTTAAATCTTGCTGATAAGGCCATGTCTCATGATACTTATTTTCTTTTAGGACTAGGGTAATACGAAATAGAATACTTATCAAAGCACTTATCAAACTTGTTTAAACTCAGATTCAGTAAAACACAGACACAGAAGTATCT